GCACTCTTTACATCCTTCTTTTAGTGATCTTAGTAGTGAAGGTGTAAAATTGTAGTTCCCACTGATTGACTGCTCATGTACAAGTATTAAAAATGCATTTAGCTTTCAATCATAGCCAATAATTTCATGTGCTTAGGTGACTGGTGTAAACAGGAGTAAAAATCGGCTAATGACATAATATATTTAGTATGCAAAAGAAAAATTAAATGAGATGCAGGAATGTTAACCTCTTCAATACCAAAAGGGTTTCAAAGAAAAAAAAAGAAATATCCTAGAATTCAATTACTTTGGGTGTCCTGGAAAGTCATGTTCAAATGTATTTCTTCTTTTCCATATGCATTGATAGCACATTATTTAATGGAAACAAAAACAAACATTTTGGTTGGGCAGAAAAAAATTAATGTACCAAATAATGAAGTTACATGTAAAATAAACCAGTCTTGTACCAAAATAACATTTCTCAATTTGTAACATGGACCATTTTCCCCACATAGTCTATAATCCTCTTATATATATATATATATATTATATCTCATATAAACTCAGTTCTCATGTGTATATATATATATATATATATATATATATATATATATGTTCACATCCACACTACACAATGCCAGACATGTACACACAGGTACCTATACACACTGCCAGAAATACATTATGATTGTATGTCTGTATCATTGAATGTGTGTTTGTGGGTGTTCCTGTCTGGCATTGTGTGTCTCAGTGTGTTTGTGTGCATGTATCATAGTCAGGGCTGTATTTACCACAAGGCAAACAAGGCATTTGCCGAGGGCAGCACTTTCAGGGGGACGGCAAAAAACACCACCCTTAGCACCCAGGCAAATGTCTTGTTTCCCTCGTGTCCTGGGGGCCCAAGAGCTGGCTAGCTTATCACCTATATCACTGTGTGTATGTGTGTGGATGTATTTGTGGGTGTCCAAAGTGGCAACATGGCTGTAATGTGAGGGAAATATAAGAAGAATGTCATGGTAATGTGGCAACATGTACAATAAACATGAGGATATGTTTGTAGGTATGTATGTATGTATATATCCCTATGTTTATTTTATATGTTGCAACATTACCATGACATTTCCCATGTATCACATTCATGTTGGTATATATATAGAAAGTCTGTGTCTGCCACTGAGTATCCTTGTGCATTTGTGACTTTATATCTGTATGTATCTGGGACTATGCCTGGAATTCCTATTTGTGTCTATATGTATGTGTATCTATGTGTCAGTGAGCATGGGTATTTCTGTTTTGGGAGCATATGTGTGTGAGAAAGCTGCTTGCAGTGTGTTTTGTGTATGGAGGCTGCATGTGGTGTTGATGTGTGTGTTGTGTTTATTGCATAAGGTGTGTTGTGAACATGAAGGGTGACTTTGTTAATATTAGGGTTACTGTCTGATGGTGGGTGCCTGTGTAAGAGGGTGGTTGTGGTTGAGGCAAAGTGACTGTGACCGAGTGTATGTATTTGAGGGGTGAATTTTGGGGGTAACTGTAACAGGGTAACTGTGTGTGAGAGATAAATGTGGGGTGGTATATTTAGTAATATGTGACTGTGTGTGGTGGGGTAATGTGACATGCTGAGATGGTGGGATAGATTGTGTGGGGTAGGCTGTATTTCTCTGTCTAAACACCCAAAAAACTGTGCTAATGTTATATATATATATATATAACATTTAATATATATATTATATATTTAATAAAGTCCTCTTCCTACTTACCTTTTCTGCAGTGATGGGGGCTCTTTTCTTTTGACTGGATGCAAACCTATCGGAATGTCCCCTTCCATTCTCTGACCTTGAGGGAGCATCTGTAGATCCCACCACCAGCCCTGTAGCTGTAGGGGTGGCAAGATTCAGCAGAGCCAGCACTACAATTGTACTGTCCTAACAGTCGATTCCAATCAAAACTAATTTGCAATAAACAAATGTCATTTGCAATTATTAAAATCATGTATTCATGATTGGCTGTGTGGAAGGGTTAAAAAGTGTTCTGTATTAAAAAAGGAGAATAAAAATTGCTTAGAAAACAAACTATAAGTGCAAGGTGCAGGTACATGTCAATGTGTCCGATAAAATAACAATGCAAGAAGAAAGCCTTCTGGCTGGAATTGACCCATAGGCATTTTAAGGCATTACTTAGATAATGCAAATAACCACCAACTTATTTGCAACAAGAATACAAAATCGAACATGTAGAGAATATATTTAGCCAAGACGCTATACAATTCATAAAGTTGTGTTGGATTACCCTTTGATAAATTAGACTGGAATAACAAACAATAGTATTGTCAGTAATAAGTGTGTATATTACTTAAAAGAGAGCATTCACTGCCCAGGATTTGTTATATTATATTTATTTATCCCTATACTTGACAAATATGGAGTGGGCTTTTAGATGACGTTGGATGTCCTAATGCACAGTTTGAGATCATCCAGCGTCATCTAACCACCCGGAATTCCTTCTCCCTGGTAGACAGCCACTAAAGCTGGAGTTAACTCTGCAAGTTGAATATTGCAGTTAATCAATAAATGCAATAATTACATTTTCAGGGCTAAGGGATTAGGGACAGTGCACCCAGACCACTTCAATGATCTCAAGGTATTTGGGTGACAATAGTGTCCCTTTAAATTGGTGTAAAGTAACAGTGCCCCTTTAACACATACACATTTTGTACATACACTGAATACATTGTTAATTCTTATGAATGTGGTTTGTCAATTATTTTCTGTATTTCATGGTGTATTACCCAACTGAATTTTATCACAAAGTCTGTGTCTATATTTACATTCATCTTGGGAAATTAAAACAGAATTGTATCAAGGGTATAAAGTCACTATTAATATCCAAGAAAGATGAAAGCAGACAACATAATTAAAATGATGAAACTATTTAATCAGTTTACACAATTAATTTAAGCCAATGCTCTGGGTAATATTGTTTCGGCTAATGAGATAAAAGAAGAGACCAGTGATATGGGTGATGTTTATAGATATGTTTGTGTTTAAATAAAGTCCCTGATTAAAACAAACAAATCTGCCATTGTTTCATTGTTAATGTTTAATGTTTTACATTTAAGTGTACACAGTTTCCTATGATACCACTTACTAAAACGTAATCTGCAATAAAAGTAACACGTCGTAGCGTGGTACACTAGTGTACAATAGTATTATTTAAGCACCTTCAATAAAAAATGTCTATGTTGCTATAACATCAATGGGGCATATACTAAATGGTAAAAATGTTTTGTTTTTTTTAGATTTGTTTCTTGGGTATTTAATTTTTGCTTGCAACTAATTTTTTTATTTATCAAGACCCTGTTCAATAAATATATTATGTTATTAATTTATTATTATTATTATTATTAGCATTTAGATAGCGCCTACTTATTCTGTAGCTCTTTACAATATTATAAAGGTGGGATTTAATAACAAGACTATTAAAAATGTTGACAGGAACAATAGGTTGATGAGGACCCTGCTCTATCAAGCTTAGAATTTCTGAATGCCCTTTAGTCATTTCACCAGCTCAGATTTTTATTTTAAAGAAACAAAATGCCAATGTTATGCAGTACTGAATGAAATGTTTCTAATTATCATAAATTGATCAATAATTTGGTCTCCTCAAATAATTAATATATTCACGCACTGGCGTACATACCGCGGTCACATTGGTCGCAGCTGCAACCGGGCCCATCACTGCCATGTTTTGTGACCCCAGCCCGCGCGGCAAACTAGGCCCCCTGTGATGACATCAGACAGAGCTGGGAGGAAGTGAATGCCCCGGTCACTACTCCCAGCTATCAGAGAGCCACGCGGGAAGAAGGCGGAGGGAGTCAGAGTTGGGAACTCTGACTCCAGTCAGGCTGAGCCAGCCCCCACTGGATCCCAGGGATAGTCACCCTCCTGCAAAAGGTAGGAAACATTTTTATATGTGTGTGTTTGTATGTGTGTGTGTGTGTGTGTGTCTGTATGTGTATGTGTGTGTGTATCTCTATATGTATGTGTCTTTATCATACAGACACATACATACAGTGTGTGTGTGTCTGAATTTATGTGGCTGTATCATACAGACACATACATACAGAGACACACACATATATACAGACACACACTTACATACAGACATATACATACAGAGACACACACACATACAGACGCATACATACAGAGACGCACACACACACACACATTCAGACGCATACATACAGATAGAATGTGTGGGTGTGTGTGTTCATATGTATATGTCTATATGTGTGTGTCTGTATGTATATGTGTGTCTGTATGTATGTGTGTGTATGTATGTGTCTGTGTTTATGTGTGTGTGTGTGTGTATGCATGTGTCTGTGTGTATGTCTGTTGGGCGGGTGTATGTCTGTCGGGGGTGTATGTGTCTGTATGTATGTGTGTGTCTGTATGTTTGTGCGTGTCTGTGTCTCTGTATGTGTGTATGTGTTTGTATGGATGTATGTGTCTGTGTGTGTTTTGCACCGGGCCCCATGATTGTGTGTACGCCACTGTATTCAGGCATGCAATAGTATGCAAAATATTGTTCACCCCTGACAAATTTAAATGATTTGTTTATTTCCTAAGTCAAAAGAACTTGGGGCGGGGCCTGACCGCTCTGCTGAGCGGACGCAGGCAGCAACAGCTCCTGTGCCAACCGACACTATAAGCTAAATCTGCCAACACAGACACCTAAATCAGGCACTTGGAAGCTGGATATAGGCAGAGAAAACTGAGACCTACAAAAGGATACTTCAAACGTTGAAATACCTCTCGGCATCAACATATGGCCTACTCACACGAGCGGCACGGGAGAGACAGGCGCTCTCCCGCCGCTTTCATACTCAGCTGACGTAATGCAGAGCCCGCGTTCCCCCCTCCCATGGACCGGTGGGGGTCATCCCGGTCCACACCACACTGGGCCACAAGCTCCTACAAACTTCTGTGACCGCTAGCATCCCGCACCTAGTGACCAAGATGGCGGCTACCGACCACGCTCCTGGGCCTGCTCTCACCCAGCCTCTACAAGCACGACATGTGAGTGGGACCCCCCAAGCAGACCGCATAGCAGCACAACTGTGGGCCAAAATGTCACAGATGCGAGCAGCCCAAATGGTCTCTCAGCAACCCACCGCCCCTCAACTGCTAAACCGGCTCCGTAAAGCGCAACCAAGCCACGAACTGCACCCGGTGTTGGCAGCCCAGAGGCAGCTAAGAGGCACCCAGACAAAATCTCCGCTAACCATGAGCCCAAACTATCTGACAGGCACAAACAAAAGGAAGAGAAAGAGAAGAGCGACACCTCATTGCAAGGCTTACCCCCTAACACTTGTCAACCCATGCCTTATCTCACTAGGCATAAAATCTCCACGCTGCGCACCTGGCACCAACGGAGACGATCCGATCGACCCCCTGGCACTTACCGGAGCCACGAGGTGACCAAAACTCATCACCGCAATCCTGGGCAGAGAGCCGCAAAGGGGAGCCCCCCAGTGCACGACTCACACCTCCGAAGGGGGAAACTTCAGGATCACACTAACACTGAACCCCACCGGGAATACCGGCGAAGGAGCAACACGCAACCGGATCAGCAGGAACCGGGTTCCACAAACACCTGGGGCAGACGGAACAACAGGCTCAGGGCCACTGAGACTTTTACAAATCGAAGTGGGCAGAAGCCAAGCCAGGGGATAGGGTGAAACTCCAACAACACGCAGCCTGATGTGCACATCTCAGTGCCTTGCTGTTACTCCACAGACTGATATGTATCAAACCCAGCCTGGACTGTTTATTTTTCTTATTATTTAGTAACAACTAATCGTTTGTTAGCCTATCTAGTTTAAAGCTCTGGTACTACCCCTAACCACTCACTAGCATGCACCAACTACACGGATGCATTCTTAAAGGACCACTCTAGGCACCCAGACCACTTCAGCTTAATGAAGTGGTCTGGGTGCCAGGTCCTTCTAGGGTTAACCCATTTTTTCATAATTATAGCAGTTTCAGAGAAACTGCTATGTTTGTGAATGGGTTAAGCCTTCCCCTATTTCCTCTAGTGGCTGTCTCTTACTGATTACTAGAGGCTGCGCAGTTTCTCACCGTGATTTTCACAGTGAGAGCACGCCAGCGTCTGTTACTGTAAATGCTTCCTAGAGACCAAGCTGGAATGCGCCGCCAAGAAGCTCTTGCCGCTGCAAGCATCTGTACGCGGGCGAATCTAGGTAGCGGATCGGAGGAGGAGAGCTCCCTTCCCAGCGCTGGAAAAAGGTAAGTTTTTACCCCTTTCCCCCTTCCAGAGCCGGGCGGGAGGGGGACCCTGAGGGTGGGGGCACCCTCAGGGCACTATAGTGCCAGGAAAACGAGTATGTTTTCCTGGCACTATAGTGGTCCTTTAAAGCTGACTAGACTCCATGTTCAGGGACAGGAGCATTAACTATAATGCCTGTTTACTATAAGCACACAGCTGAAGCACCTAATGCACAGCAGGCAGGTCCACAAACGAGCCACCTCATTAAAGCACAGCCTAGCCAAAAGCTTTCTGTTGAATTTTATCAGTTGTAAGCAGTTCGACAAGTTCAGGACAAATCATAACCTCTTGTAAGATATATTTTAACAAAATGTGCAGTACCCTCAAATGCCAACAACTGTTTCCATGTGGCAATGCAAATGTTTATGTCTAATCTATGCACAACTAAAAATAAAGAATTTATAAAAAAGAAAAAAAGAAAGAAACATTCCCTTTTCAATGGGAACATAAAAAAAATAAAAAATGAAACATGAAACATGTTAATGCACAGTTACTATTAATTTGCTACATTTAGGTGACAGGAAAAAAGTGAAATCAGTAAATGTCACATGTCGAACGTTTGAGCACACTGTCAGTCAGTACTTAGAAACATTTCCTTTGACATAAATTACAGTCTCCAAACACTACTTATAGCCACCTACAGTCTTTCTATTCTTGCTTTAGGTTATTTGTTCCCACATTTTCTTACAGAATATTTCTAGTTCAATCTTTTTCTTAGGTTGTCTCAAAGTTTTGCTTATGCCATTTTACTGTATTTTTTTTTCTGTCAGTGAAATTCAGTAACTGTATAGCTGAGCATTAAAGGGATTCTCCTGACCCCTAAAGCACTTTCGCTTGCTAAATGTGAAGAGTGTGTCCTCAGAAATTGCCAGTGTTATAATTTACTACACACCAAAGGGCCCCGATGCAAAAATTGCCCTGGGCCCCCACTCCCCCTCAATGTGTCTCATCCCTTCACCCCCAGCCCCCCATTTGTCTCATCTCGCTCTCCAGGCCCCCAATGAATCCTATTCCCTTCCCCCCCAGTCCCTCCATGTGTCTTATTCCCTCCCCAGGCTACCCATGTATCTCAGTCTCTCCCTCCCGCCCCTCCATATGTATTTTTTCCCCAGGCCCCTAATGTATCTTATTCCCCACAGCCCCCCATGTGTCTCATACCCTCCCCCTAAGCCCCGCCATGTGTCCCATAAACCATAAATATTAATTTCAGTCTGTAGTTTTTTCACTCAACACCAAAATATAGTGAATAAAAAAAAAAAAATTGCTAAATTTTAGGTTACAATAGCCAAACTGACTTGAGCTGGAGAATGTTTCTAGTTTGGATACCGTTTGCTATTTAGTTTTCAATTCACTATAATACTAGCTTCATTGAGAAAACCCAGGCAAGTTTTGTTAACTTTATGATAATGATAACAGAATATTAAGAATTTTCAGTAATTAATTACCATTGATTGTTATATGGAGGGAAATGATGTACTAGTAACAAATAGGTCATGTAGTTTGTGCTTCTTACTATATTTTTAAAACATAATTTATTGTAGCAAATTGTAAAAACACAAAAGTACAATAGGTCATTTACATATTTAAAAATAGGTCTGAATTGACAACGTTCCTTGACACCTGGGCAAGCAAAAAATGATCAGCTAATTACATAAGTTTAGAAAAAATGTACAGAACTTTTTTTTTTCACACTGCCAATGCACTCTAGGAGAACACAGCTCCCACTGATATCATTCTTTCAGTAAGCAAAATAGAAGAAATAGAAAAACGTTAATATTGAAGTATATTTTATTGAGGTTCAGTTACAAAGAGCTTGGAACGTTTTAAAGGAAAATATTTGTATACAGTAAGCTGCAGGGAGGTTAATATTTAGAAAATTCTGACGTTAAATTTTAGAAAACTAAATGTGAACTTTTTGAAATGTTGTACTAGAGTACATATGTTTGAGCATAATCATCAATAAGCAGTATACATATTTC